CGCACATACATACATACAAACACACACACACACACACACACACCATACATCCATTTTTTCTAAGGTATGCCAAAATGTTCAGAAACCTCTGAAACGTAAAGATATATAAAAATTTTCATTTTTGATTTTTTTGCGATTACTATAACTTGCCCTACGGGAAGTTAATTATATATATATTTTTTTGTTACAATTTCTTTTTGTTAATCAAGATTTTAATGTCTTATTTACAAAATTGATATAAGCAAAAAAAATACAAAAATACAAAAAATGCAATAAATTGAATATAAAATGAAAAAAATTAAAATAAAAATAAAATTAAAACAGTAATACAAAAATAATAACATAAATGAACTATGACGTGATGATGTATGCCTACTACGTCAGGGCGCGTGCAGACATTGGGCTATGCTAGGTGTTTGGTAGATCGGAAGGCCATTTCTTGCTCAATCTTCTTAACGGTCTGTGAATCGCTTGAATAGTAGGATTTGTATGCTGGATTAATTTATTGTTAAAAGATGAACTTCTAATCTTGATCATTTCGTTGACAGTTGAGATTTTCAAATCCTTATGTAGGCAAAGGTTCGAAATATACCAAGGCGCATTAGTAAGGATACGCAGAATTTTGTTCTGGCACCTTTGAATGATGTTTATGTTAGATTTGCAAGAGCAACCCCATAGTTCGATTCCATAAGTCCAAATGGGCACTATGATAGTTTTGTACAGAAGTACCTTGTTATCGAGAGAGATTTCAGATTTCCTCTCAAAAAGCCAGTAAAAATCTTTTATTTTCAGTTGAATTTGTTTCTTGTTATATTCAATGTGCGTTGTCCATGTCAATTTCGAATCAATGTGCATGCCTATATATTTGACAGAATTGAATAGTGGAATTATTAAATTGTTCATGATGATAGGTGGACTGTTGTGATGTTTTAGGGAAACAATTATGTGCTGTGATTTTTTGATATTGATTTTGATATTCCATTCTAAAAACCATTTTTCGAGACTAGATAAATAATTTTGTAACTGACAAGTTGCTGTTCTAATATCGGAATCGCATGAAATAATTGCTATGTCATCGGCGTAAGTGGCATATGGTTAGAAGATCATCTGTGGGCATATCGTTTGTAAAAAGAAGATAAAGTACTGGACTTAGCACACTGCCCTGTGGTACCCCGCATTCTATATTTCTAATGCTCGAAGTCACATCTTTAATTTTGATTCTAAATTTTCTATTAAGCAAATATGAGCTTAAGATATTGAAGTAGTTTGGAAAAGTTGTTTTGATTTTATATATGAGTCCTGAGTGCCAAACCTTATCAAAAGCCTGACTGACATCTAAGAATACGCCGGCTACGCTCTGTTCCTTTCTATTCATGGCTTTAAGAATACGAAACACCGTTCTGTTGCATTATTGAATTGTAGAGTGGTCTTTTCTGAAGCCAAACTGGTGGTGAGGAATCCAACTATCATTTGGATGATCTTCTGACAATCTCTGCAACAAAAGTCTGATAGGACTGATAGGACTGATAGGACGGTATGAACTAGCATTGTGATGGTTTTTCGCGCAAATGAAATCGTTTTGGTTAGTTATTACAGAGGAGGGTTTTGTTGTAGGGGTTTACTTTTGTTCTTGATTGGTTTCCATATGGAATTATCGTACCTATTAGCTTCAATATATACGACCTGAATGTACAATTCATCCATTCTTTCATTTTTTTCCTTAGAGTATAATAGTACATACTCTCGGTATAAACTGTTAAAATCTTTGATAGAGATGAGAAAATAGTCAATTTTGAATAATATTTATACATTACAAAATAAGGGAAACATATATCCAAAATATGTTTCCAAGACACCATGTGAATATTTTCTGTGCATTACTACATCTAATTATTGACATAATTTTGATACATTTTTATTATTAAGAATATATATTAGATAAATTCAACTAATGAAAATCTAATAAGCTTTTACAAGTTGGATTACCATCTAAATATTCAGTTTTTTTTATATTTCCATATAATTACAATCTGCTTGGTAAGGATTCAGTAATTTTGGTAACAAATGTGTAAAAATAAAATTTTGAAATGAAACCAGCTGGTAGTCATTTTAGGTTTGAAAATAGATGAGATAAAATTACAGAACAGTAATAATAACTTTACATTATATGTTATTTGCTAAAAATAGCTTTACATTACATGTTATTTACATTGTGGTTTTAATTTTAAAAATTTAGATAATTTATCAAAAATAGATAGGATGACTGTTGAGTTGCCTTCTATAAAAAATGTAATTAAGAAAGCTTACAGGTTTATTAAGTTCTCATGGATATTAACAGAAAATGATACCCGCCTTTAAACCCGGTTTTCGATTTAAAAATTAACTAAAGAGACATCACTAACAAGCTTGAGGGCTATCAAGTTCTCAGGACTATTAACAAAAAATGAGCCTCCAATTAGGCCTTGATCAACCCATGCGAAGCAGTCGTGACATTAATGTCACTATATTTATAGTTATGACTATAATTATAGTTTTCCCATTAAAAATTTAGATAATTCATCAAAAATTCTATCGTTGGGTTGCCATATCTATGAAGCAATGTTATTAAGAAGCCATCATAACATGCTTATACAGGCCTTAATCACATTGCTATCAACGATTGAGCTTCGAATGATGTTCTTGTATCATTGGAAGCTCAATTGTTGATGTTGATAGCAATTGTGATTAATAACATGCCTTGATCAACCTGATGCAAAACAGTGATGATATTACGGTAAAGTATGGAAAATTCCTTAAAGCTAGTTGGCATAACCGTTGGGTTGCCAAGTATTAAGTAGTAGTGACATTTATTAGGGGCGTCTATTTATCACGTGATTGATTTTAAGGATCTTTGGACCCTTTCTTTCCTTTTACGTAGTGATATTTAAAATCAACTCCTTTTCCCACCCAACATTACGTGTATTTTAGTAACACGAAAAAATCGTAAAATTTTTGAAAAATTTAACCCTCTCCGCCAATAATAAAAAAACAAAATGGAGTCACATCTCAATCAGTCGACCACCCTCTCTCGACAGTGTGAACAACATAATAAGTAGTGACCATTAATTTCGTTTCATAGTTAATGTAAAATCAAATATGTGCATATTTAACTAAATAACCCTTAAAAAACTTTCGTATAAATATTTATAAAACCAAAAACAATTATTTTACCCACCGAAGATAAACAATCATTGTCTGCTGACATTATAAGCAAGACCTTGAAATTGCGCACAAAATAATCATTTATCAACTGAAGTGGATGCGCCTTCTAACCATTTTTAGATAATATTTATAGATAATATTTTGGCAACTATTAACATTGTGGTTTCCCAAAATAATTTGAAGGTGAGATTAAAGTTGACATTTGCGGTACCTGTTATCAAAGTTTTAGGTTATGGCTATGTAGAGTTTAATTTGAATTACTTACTGATTGCGTTGCTAGAAGTAATAGTAGTTTTATTATTGAAGCTTTAATAATGATACGTTATTTAGGAATCGGTTGTTTGGTTGCTGCTTCTTTGTATATCACACGGTAAATATTAATTAATAGATAATATTGTTTATATTACATTTCTAGTACTTTTACCTGGCTTGTATGCGTTGCACAAAAATTTAATTGCTTTTTGTAATATGTACATTGAATCTATGTAATTTGGAGATTTAAATTGCCTAAATGTACAAATCCAAATTCTTTAAAAAAAAAAACATTTATCTGCCATTTGAAGTTTATTTTATATGATTCCATTACTCCTGTCATAAGAACGCTCCTATTTTAGTTCACTTCGTTTCCAGTCACTTGTTTTGTTTTTAAAGTAGCAATTTTGGCTTGTAGGTGTTATTTTGTCGGTAAAAAGTGTGCATGTACAAAAATATATGTTAACGGTGAATATATAATAGTCACCGGAGCTTCATCTGGCATAGGCAAAGCTACTGCAACCGAATTAGCTCACAGAGGTACCCACCACATTACCAAATATTCTTATTATTCATATAAAATATAAATCATAGTTGTTTTACCCAGGTGCTCGTGTTATTTTGGCTTGCCGAGATGTAGAAAAGGCAAGAAGAGTCAGGAATAAAATAATTCTAGTCACTAGCAATATCAATGTGACTGTTTTGCATTTGGATTTGACTTCATTCAAAAGTATTCGTAATTTGTTGCCGAAGTAAAAGAGTTGATAGCTGGTCATCAATTGGCTGCTTTGGTCAATAATGCTGGGTTGTTTTATGCGGATCCTAAATTAAGTGAAGATGGATATGATTTGACTTTCCAAACTAATTATTTAGGTATGAGAGATTTGGTAATACAATGTTGGTAAATATTTTTGTGAAAAAAGATGTTGATCTGTTGATTTGTCTTTGAAGCATAAGTATTTTGGAATACTACCAATTATCCTAGCTGGTAAAGAAATATTATGAAAGGTCACTAGAATCTATTCGGAAAGGCAAAATTTAATATGGTACATCACATTACAATATAGTAAACCAGACTATACAATTTTTTTTATTATTACTTCTTATCAGATTATAACATTATAATGGACAAGTTATAAGTATCGATACCGCAAGTAAAGTAAAACCTAGAAAAGGTCATTGATTAAAAAATATAATTTGCAAAGAAATAAAAGTAAAAATGCATGAAATTAATAATAATTTTTATTAATAGATTCTGTGGCAAAACTTTTGAACTAAAATTAAAGTGTTTTTATTAATTTTATTATTATTGCACTTAAGAAAACAATAAATTCAAATCACATTTAGAACAACTTGATTTTAATACGTACAACTGTTCATTTGAATCTTAATTTGAATATATGCACACACTACATGATTTTATTGCTTTTTTACTTTAAATATGAAAGATCTACCAAATTTTACAGATCTTTGTAAATTCATTCTCTTGGGGGGGACACTAGTGTGATTATAAAAGGAAACTCATTAGAAGTAGTAAATATTAAATATATTTAGTTATGAATTCAACTTGCAATTGATTTAATTCTAACTGGAGAACTTTATCTTAAATAATTCCTTTGTTTAATTTTATGGTTGTGCTTACAACGCTTTTAATATTGATTTGATACGATTTGATTTGCCAATTGGGCGAATTTGATGAAAAATTCAATACTTTTTTATTCAACGATGATTTTATTAGACATCAATATTATTTGTACAATTTTTTGTTTTCGTATATAAAATCATGACATACTTAATCTAACTTGGAGCTAATTTTCTTCACCAACAATCTTTTGCTCAATAATGACAAAAACTCGAATCATGTCTTTTCAAGCAGTGAATAAAATATACAACAAGATTAACCTTCTAATTATCACTGGCATCCAATTTGTATTTTTAACTTCCCGAAGGAGAAGTTTATGTTTTCATCAAAAAATCCGATTCGCTAATTTTATGTTTTCTCGACGTTTCAAGCCATTCTGAATCGAATGAGACCAAATTTGGAAAAAGTATGTGTGTGTGTGTGTGTGTGTGTATGTGAACAGATTTTTTGCCGTAAATCGACGTTTTCTCGAAAACGGCTAGGTCGATTTCAAAAATTTAAAAGCCATTCGATGTATCTCGACGAGAACTATTGTTTGTCAGTTTTGTGCGACGATCGGCCAAGCCGTTTCTTTATAAATGGCAGAAAAGTGAAAAATTTTTCGTCTACGTTTTAGCCCGCAATTCTGAATCGATTTTGAAAATTCAAAACCGTTCGAAAGATATTGGTTGGGAATCGTGCTGATTAGTTTTGGTAGAGATCGGCCGGGCCGTTTTCTTGTAATAAAGTTTTAAAAAAAAAAATTCGACGATTTTTATGATTATTTTTTTGACGATAGATACCATAGTCTTCTAGATGATACTAAATATTACGGCCCTACGACAACTGTTCAGCTTTAAAAATTCGTCAAAGTTTGCAAAATCAGTATAGTCTTTTTGGCATTTGTCAAAATTAGACTTTTGATCGACGTTTTCTCAAAAACGCCTGAACCGATTTTAGAAATTTAAAAACCATTTGATGTATTTCGGTGAGGACTATCGTTTGTCAATTTTGTGCAACGATCTGACAAGCCCTTCTTTGTAATTTGAAAAAACTTTCGTACACATTTAAGCTTATCCTACCGAACCGATTTCAAAAAATCAAAAACTGTTCGAAAGATATTAGTTGGGAATGATACTGATTAATTTTAGGTGAAAATCTACCGAGCCGTTTTCTTGTAATTAACTGTTGAAAAAAAGTGTTAAATTTTCGTCGACATTTAAGCTCATCCTACCGAACCGATTTTAAAATATCAAAAACTGTTCGAAAGATATTAGTTGGGAATGGTACTGATTAATTTTAGGTGAAAATCTACCGAGCCGTTTTCTTGTAATTAACTGTTGAAAAAAAATTTAAGCCGATTTTCATGGCACTTTTTTGGCGATATACATCATGGTCTTATAGAACTTACTGTAATATTATGGCCTTACGACAAGTAGTTTAATTTTACAAATTCGTCAATGTTTGCTAAAATTATTATCGTTTTTTTCAAAGTAGGATTGATAAAGAATATTATTTACACTTTTTTTTTATTAAGTCGATTATTTACACAAATCGGGAAGTTCATGTAACTTGCCTCAAGGCTAAATACCAAACCAACTAGTTTTGTTTCTAAATTTCTGGGCATCCTTATTACATAAAAACTTGAACTAGTACTTGAATTATGGAAATGTTGTTTCATGTTGAAGATTCTTAAATCAAAAGTCATTTTAGTCTTCTTTCAATTTGTTATTCTAATTTCGATTTGCATCTTACATATGGATTACAATTTTGGAGATTTTTGTCGGTTTTGAAGAACATTTTCAAAATATAAAATAGAGCGTCAAGAATATTTTTTTCACATAGTTTTTTGTCAACATGTTTGAATCATTTCCGAAAATTTAACTTTCTCACTAATTTTCAACTATTCTTCATGAAGAATAATCCTGAACAGTCCAACTCATCTTTCATGTTGAATTCCTATTATGAAACCAGAAATTTGACCATAAAAGAAGTAATATTCAAACTTGTAACGTCTTTTAACCAGAGATGGCCTAGGAGAACAGATTTTTAATCTACTCCTACTACAGATTAGAAAATTAAGTGATCGTCAATATCACACCACTATCATTAAATTTTTGAAAGCCTAAAGCTTCTACGATAGAGATTTCAGAATCTCTATTTCTATATTCTACGATAGAGATTTCTGAATTTGCCAATTCGATATCAAATATATAATATAACTTATAAAGAATTTCTCTCGACAGTTACAATTACTATTTCCTTCTTTTTTCTTGCTCCTAATTTTCTGTTCAAAATTATTTCAACTTTTTTTTTAATCAAAAAAAAAACTAGTGGTGCATGGCATCGTGCCTTAAGGCAAATTGCTGGAACTTTCCGTACCGAAAACTAAATTATTGAAAAACTTTGAAAAATTAGATTTTTGAGAAAATTGAAATTTTGTGAAAAAATTGAATTTTTTGAAAATTCAGATTTTTTTTATATTCTGATTTTTTTTGTATTTAGATTTTTCTTGAAAATTTTGACATTTTTTTTGAAGCGATGCATAGCAGATTTGGAGTCGAAATACCAAAGCGCGTAAGCGCCGCGTAGTCGTCTATCGTGTAAACATTGGTACGGAACCCATATAAATGTACACAAAATTTGTACTTATTATTAACATTATAATTATCAAAATATTTGATAATACAATGTACATATGTGTACTGTTAATTTTTGACCGCTAAATGGCGTTAATTTTTACTTTTTTTATTGGATCCCGGAGACGCTGGACCTGCCTTTACAAAAATTTGACCAGTTGTTTATTTCGTCAATACAAGTAAGATGTTTCACACTCTGTTATCTCAAAAACGGAGTTTTATCTCTTTTTGACCCATATCTCCGAAACGGCAAGACCTGCTTTTGCCAAAAAATAATCAGCACGTGTCCTTATCAGTAGGAATCGTTTATTTTTTGAATTATTCAAATCGGTTGATCCATGTTCGCGAAATCGTCGACGGAAATTTGTATCCGCACACATATACACACACGCATACATCCATTTTTTCTAAGGTATGCCAAAATGTTCAGAAACCTCTGAAACATAAAGATATATAAAAAAAAACTATTTTCGATTTTTTTGCGATAACTGTATCTTACTCTACGGAAAGTTAATAAAACAAAACTATTGTTTAAATATATTTTTGCTTCATGGTTTAAATTTATACAAGTTGCCCTAAATTTCATTGTTATTATAAATTGATGTCTGAATAAAATCATTACAAAAACTAGAATTGACGCTTTGTTACAATGAAGTTGGTGTTATTACATCATAAGAGAATGCAAAATATAACTCATCCATATTGTTGACAATTTTTTATTATTATAGAAATTAAAAAAAAATCTTTCCACAAAAATGCTTACCAACATCTTACAAATTATAAAATAATTTCTATCCAATTGTATCAATATTGTAATATGGTTTTGTCTTTTTAAAGGTCCATTTTTGTTAACACAACTGTTGTTACCAACTTTGGAAGAATCACCAGAAGCCCGTGTTGTAAATATATCATCTGCTGCACACTTATCGGCACCAACTGTATCTATAGGCCAATTAATATCTTTCGATAAATCGTCATACAACAAATTAAATGCTTATCGTCTGTCGAAACTGTCCCTGGTAGCCTATTCGTTTAAACTCTCTACATTGCTGGAATCAAAAAATTCATCAGTGAAAATATTTGCTGTTGATCCAGGGAATGTTGAAACAGAGATTTTCCGCAATTTTCCACCATTGTGCAATCCGATTTTGTATTGGTTACAGAAACCTTTAAGACTGATTTTAGTTAAAACTCCTTCCGAAGGTGCTCAAAGTGTATTACACGCATTGTTTTGCCCAAATTTGAAATCTATTTATATATCAAACGTGTCAGAGTCTATGAAGTACTCTGATGTAGTAAAAGACACTGATTTTTGTGATTCATTAATAAAGGCTAGTGAACTCTGGGTAAAGGCATAAGAATTATTTATTGTATTTGTTCTAAATTTAATAACATGGGAAACATAGAAAAAAACGTTATTTTTGCTGGTGTTCTTGGCATTAAACCTGTTGAAGATGCAAAATGTATAATAAAGTTATCTAACTTGGTATTTGAATGCTCGAGTGATCCATATTTGGAATGGACTTCGATAAAAACAATATTTCAGGAAGGTGATAGAAATCATCTTATCATCGGTGATGTTGATTACGATTTTGATAAATTAATTGAGTCGGCTGTGAAAACAATGCACAACAAAGAAGTAAGTGATTTTATATTGAAGGCCAGTATAACATTAAATCAAATATCACATGATATATCAGTTAAGGTAAGAATAGAGCTGATAAGTCTTATAAATATGCAATATGTTCATAAACTTCCATATATTCATAAGGCCTATATTGCTAGAAAGCATAAAGACAGAGGTGTTGATTTTTTCAAAAAGCAAGAATACTTATTAGCCTTCAAGAGATTCAGTAAAGCTTTGAAGTTATTAATATCACTAGGCCCATACAGCGATAGCGGCCTTAACGATGCCGATTATAAAATAGTTTTTGATCTCAAGCGAGATTTGTATAACAATTTAGCCTTATGCAGGCAGTGTATGAAATCGAAGAATCCAGAAGTTAATCTTCAACATATTGTATATTTGTGTAATAAAGTTTTAGAGATCGATTCCAACAATATCAAAGCTCTGATGAGGCTTGCAAAGGCCAAGACTGAATTAAGAGACTTTGAGGAAGCCAGAGATGTTGTGAGTAAAATACTGGAGATAGAACCAAATTATTCTAGTGCCAAAAGTGAAATGATTAAGTTAACTACAATTATAAAAGAACAAAATAAAAATTCTGATAGTATTGTTAAAAAAATGTTTGGAAACTTATCCTAAACTGTAAATTCTATGTATTTCTTGTATATATTTAATTAATAAAACAAAGATTTATATATAAATTAAATTTTTTGTTTCAAATTTTGTTTAATAAAATTTAATCGTTAATTATTGTTGATGAGAAAAATAAGAAAAAACTGGTTATAGTAGAATTTTGTGATTTGTACATTTTTTTCTTCAAAAAATTAAATACACATATCTCCAATTATTTCAAATTTTGATCTCTTTATCGTCAGTCACTTAAAGTTATATTTTTCTTCTTAAAATAAAAAAAAAATTTGGGAGTCTATCACTGAAGATAGATTTTAGTCTTATAGTTAGTTAAAATTTTATACTTTGTGTTAATTTCAAATAAAAAATTGAAAAAAAGTTTGCTAAACTGATCTGAATATCATCAATAATGATTGTATTTTTAAATACTTCAATTTTTGTATTATTTTGAAGATTTTGTGTTAATAGTAAATTAGGCTATAGCCTAATAATATTTAACAATAAATGATAAAATTAAAACTAGTTATCAGTGGCATTTTGTCTTAAGGCAAGTTACATCAGCTTCTCGATATGTATGCATAATCAACATAAAGTAATGATAAATAAGTAATAAACAAATCAACATAAATTAATCAATAAATATTTATATTTAGCCATCACATAATATGTGTTATAAAGATAATGGATTTAGCTATTTAGGTAAAAGGTTCCATTGTTTATTTCGAAAATAAAATTTTAGTCCTCAATAATTTTAATTAATCACTGGTATTCCCAAACAATATCTTTTCGTTTTTCAAACTAGCTGTAAGTGGAATTCTGTCTTAAGGCAATTAAGGCAAATTGCTGGAACTTCCCGTACCAATTTTTTTTTTTAAAAACGATTAAGATTTTTAAAAAATTTTACTTCGAAAAAATAAGATTTTTGAGAAACTATATATTGGACAAAAATTACTTTTTTTTGAAAAAAAAAATTTTTTTTTTAAAATATTTTTTTTTTTTGAAAAAAAAATGTTTTATTTTGACATATTTTGGAAGATCTAAACTTTTTTTCAAAGCAATCGTACTGCTTTAACTGCATAAAGACGAAATATCAAAGCGCGTAAGCGCCGCGCCGCCGTCTAACGCGTAAACATTGGTATGTAAAAAAAATTATACTTTTTGTTAAAATCTCTATAAAATATCTGATAATTTGATGTGCATATGTCCAATGATCATTTTTGACCGCCAAATGGCAATTTTTTTTACTTTTTTCATCAGATCTCCGAAACCGTTAGACCTGCCTTCATGAAAATTTGATCAATTCCTTATCTTGTCAATACAAGTAAAATGTTTTTTGAATTATTCAAATCGGACGCTCCGTTCTCTTAAAAACTGAGTTGCCGTTTTCGGCACTTTTTGCCCCGTATCTTTGGAACGGCTAGACCTGCCTTCGCCAAAAACTAATCAGCACGTCTCATTATTAATACGAATCGAATATTTTTTGAATTATTCAAATCGGTTGATCCGTGTTCCCGAAATCGTCGACGAAAATTTGTATCCGCACATACATACACACACGCACATACATACATACATACACACACACACACACACACACACACATACAACCATTTTTTCTAAGGTATGCCAAAATGTTCAGAAACCTCTGAAACGTAAAGATATATAAAAATTTTCATTTTCGATTTTTTTGCGATTACTATAACTTGCCCTACGGGAAGTTAAAAAAAAAACTGCTCGGCAGATCGTTGAGCAAAAATGACATGTGCGAGTTCTTAACGAGTTAAATCGAACGGCTTTTAAAATTTTGAAATTGGTCTAGCCGTTCTTGAGAAAACTTCATACTTTTTCTCAAATTTGACCTCATTCGATTCAGAATGATTGAGACAAGGATTTCCTTGCGAAATCAAACTTCTCCGGGAAGTTAATAATGTATACAATAAATTTCCTGATTCCTAGATTACAAGCAGTATTTTTTTTGACAAAAGTTATTCCAAAAAATTTATAATGATGAATGAATTATCAGTATCAGTAGCAATAGCAAATCAGCTCTCCTACAGCAACATCGATTTACTTAATGAATACATTGATTTCAAGTTAATTTAAAGTTTGTATCAATCAATAGCATTTATTTAGAAAGTCTCGCTTTCAGATCATGTTAAAACTCTTGGAAAAATGAAAATATTTCTTTAAATTTTAAATATAAGCCAATGTACAAAATTTTATCAGCAGCTCTTATTGGCCATACTTATTTACTAATTATTGAAAATAATATTTAAAAATACACATTTATTTCTTCATTATTACAACAAAAAATACTTTATTCAAAGATAGAGCAAAGAAGTTAAAATTCTTAAAATTATATATTGCAGTATTTCAGCATATTCATGATATTATCGCTCAATGTACATACAAATTTAAACTTAGTATATTTACAGTATCTGGCAAGTACATCTATTTTGGCAGGCTTTAAATAACCATTTTCAGAACTAATTAGTATTTATATGGACCTTTTATGAAATTATTTCATTAACCAAACTAACGAATTAACTACACTATTGGTTTGGCATACTTAATGATTATAATACATGAAATATTTTCTTATTGCTTAAAGAGTAACAACCTAAAGTGATTTTTTTTAGTAAAATAGATAAATTCATATTTGAAATTGTTTCAACAATGCTTAAAGATAATGATATTAAATTTGATATAAAATTTGTAACCTAGTAACATCACAATGAAAATCATATTTTCAGAATGAATTTATAACTCTTCCTTTTTAATGTATTTAAAGTTTGTTAAAGCATTTATTACAGTTATATTTTCTTATTAAGAGGAATTAAAAATAACATACAAAATAAGTAATCTATAAAAAGAATCATAAATAATTGTTTTCGTTAAAAACTACAAACCACTGCCAAAATAACGTTACAAAACCATTTCACAAAGACATCTACGAGATAACTAATAAAACATTATATATAACATAATTCATTTTCGAAATCACTTTCAGCTGAGTGTGGTAGTGAAAATTTTACAAAAAAAAAAAAAACACTACATGACTAAAACAACTATATATATGTCATGATTATAGAGATTATTTATAAGATTTTAGGCACTTTAGAGGTTGTTTTACCATTAACGAGAGTTAAATATAACAATATTATTTATTTGTAAGATAGAACAAAGGGGTGGGTTAATTATTGTTTCTTTTTCTTGGTGTGGTGGTCTATGGAAACATCGGAACTTTTGCGAAATTTGTTGAAAACGTTTCTACTCTTGCCCGATGCCTTCTTGATAGACTGACCGGCTTTATCCGGCAGGATTTCTTTGTATCATGACTGCTTCACTTTTCCATTGGCATGAGTTGAGTTCAGAGCCGTGGTCGCTCCAGCAGTGAATGCTTGATTTGTGACATGTTGAATACTTTTTTCCATACAACTTTCATATATTGGTTTCATTGCCTGGAAAAGAAATAATCTGTAATTTTGTAATTGTATACAAAATGGGAAATGGACAAAAAAGGTGTGCTCATTTTGTATTTGCTATTGGTATCATTGTATTGAATAATCAAATAACAAAATCCATAATGCCAAATTAAATGCATTTCATTGTATTTATTTGGAAGAAATTTCTTCGAGATACGAGCGATTCATAATTTTGTGTAATTGTATTCAAGAGTTGTGAATAAAATGTAGAATGAAAACTTACATTTATCCATATCATATTTGCAATTTCATCGATAGTGACACCAATATCTGTAAGTTCTCCACTATATCTGTAAAATTATGAAGAAAAGTTTAAATCTGATTACAGATCGAGGTGTTAAATTAAATATTCATTTGTATTCATCTAAAACATATCTGTTCAATAATCTATTATCAAACTGATAGTAAAACTATGCTTTTAAGATCAATTTCTGTAATCAATATAAACGTAAATTATTTTTGTTTAATCAATAAGCGTATTAATATAACAATTTTATATTTATATATTTACCTAATATATGCCCATAGAACCAAAGTCAGAAGTGCGACACCCATTGCAAAATTGCAGATATTGGAAATTGCATACAAACCAACCAATCCAAAAACTCCACTTAGAACGTACATAAGAATGAGCAGTGCAAAAAATACTGCAGGTGTTCTAGCTGCCTATAATAAGATTTAACATTTAGTTTTTGTCTTACAATTTAAATTATCTTTCCTTATTCATATTAAACTCGCCTTAAAAATATTTTTGCTATCATTATGTCCTTTGAATTGTTCAAATGCTTCATCCAAATCCGCTTCCAATTTAATTCTATAGTTTTCTGAGAAGGCAGAGCCACCCATTTTCCTTTTTTGTATGAATGTACCAACTGCTTTATCTCTTATTCTCAAATGCTCAGATTCCAAATGTGCAGTACTTAAATATGGTTTGCTGCCTCCACAGATGTCTTCCATTAATTGTGTGTACATGTCTTTAGCCTCAGCTACAGCTGATAGATTATTCGCTTCCGCAGTAGCCTAAAAAGAAAAATTAAAAATTACATATCTATTAAAACATCAAAGCAAACATTGAATAAAAGTAATGATTCACGTTCTCTTTCCATTTCCATTATCACTTACCACAAGCATGCTCTTAGGCTCGGGAAGCTCATTTCCTTTATAAATTGACATATATGCTTTGAAATACTGCACCAGATCTCTACATTTGACTGGTACGCCATTTATACGTTTTGCAATTAAGTTTTCGGGAGCCAATAGCATCGGTATGAATACTTTTAGAGAGTCTTTAAATTCGGGCGTTATATCTGTAAGTCGACCATCAAAATTCGGATTTGTGGCCACAGTTAAACCAGGATGAGGCATCAGAAAACAGGCCACTTCAGTGAAGCAGGAAGCTATATGCTTGCGTAGAGATTGTAGTTCTGGGTGCTGTCTTTCTGATATCTAGAGGAAAAAAAAATAAGATTAGATGTTTTGGATTCATTTAGAAGTTTTTTCAGCCAGTTATAGTAGTATCATCTCCATTATGTACAATAACATTTATGACTTTTTGGTATTTAGAGTTCCATTATGAAATAATGAAATAACTATATTAAAACATACAAAATAATTTTACGTTTCAAGAAAAATGTACAATTAGTTCATTTTATAAAAGAACTTTGATTTACATCGCAACATAAATTGTTGTTTCGTTTTGAAAATTCAACGAAATGTTTATCTCAAACGATAGAAATAAAGAATTCTTTATTTGAATTATTAATAATTCTCACTTTCATCCGCCTCTGTAGCAAATTCTGTCCACCCACAGCACCATATTGTTCCTCGTAGGGAAAACTCCAGTCCCGAACCAGGAATTGCAATCTCTGGAAGGGCTTCTGTCCCGAATCAGCCAATGCCAATCTGCCATATTCCGTGAAAAGGTGCAAATGTTGCAAATCATCTTCTTGTATATTTTGTGTTAAATTGTATATCTGTACAGAACTCAACATTGTGCTCAAAGCAAATACGGTGGCGCAGTCTTTGACTGTGCTCTCACTGTCGAAGGTCCCCTGAAAGGAAACAAAAGTAGTTAAAAATTTAGCTCAAAATGAATCGTTTTTGTATTATGAATAAGTAAATTTGTAGGATTAAAAAAATGACTAAAAATTTAAAATTTTCTGACCATTGTTAGATATTAGTATAACATATGAATTTCTTTTTCAATTTTGTCCATATCTTGTACTTGCTTTTGTAATAATTCAAATATAAATGTAATAGTATATAAATTTGGAAAATAAATCCTATTGAATTTTAATATGGTGAGATCAAGATCGATAAAATTTCAGGAGACACAAGAATTTCGGTGATATGTAATTAGCATAAAACAAGTCTGTCTTGTTAATGAATCTTGTAATACATTATTACGTATGTTATATTATCAGAGATCGTGTTCAGAATAATTCTACTCAACACTATAATTTATTGATAAATATAAATATATTGATAATTAATAAATAATATTGATAAAAAATCTCAAAACTATTTTTTTCAAAATTCTGAAAAGTTCCAGCATTTAAGGCACGATGCAGTAGTTTTCTATAGTATTAGAAGATAAACAAACGAATATTTATCAAATCGCGCCGAATGTTCATATGTAAATGTTATTATAATCAAAATGCACACGATTGACGCTTGACTTCTGTAAATAATTCGAAACAAAGTTTTTGTTATCGCATTTCATCGGACAATGATAATTGTTTAATTTATTTACCATTTATCATAGAATTGATTACAAAAGGCAAGAGGCTGTTTTTCAAAAAAAATCTGACTGAATAAAATTATTTGTAAGTACACTACATTCAAATAAGACCTAAAATTAGTTCAGTAAAGCAATGATTGACAATAAAAGTATGCAAAAAAAAAGTGAAGCAATGTTGAGTTTTATGCTCTTTCCTTACATATAATTTCTGAATATTATTATTAATTAATCATTTAATATTATATTAGTTATCTAAATATACAATTCAAAACTTTATCATAAACAAACTTAATTGAGATTATCTATTTGACAAATTTTAAGAATAGTATTCCTATTCTGATATATAAAACATAAAAAAAAAAAAATATATCTATTTTCAATTTCCCGTAGGGTAAATTATAGTAATCTTAAAATAAAAATCAAAACTGAAACTTTTTATATATCTTTACGTTTCAAAGGTTTCTGAACACTTTGGTATACCTTAGAAAAAATGAAAGTATGTATATGTGTGTTTTGGATACAAATTTTCGTTGACGTTTTCGATCAACCAACTTGAATATGTAATTTAAAAAAAACATTCGATTCGTATTGATGGGGAGACGTGCTGATCAGTTTTTGGCAAAGTGAAAAAAACTAGCAATTCAGTTTTTGGAAAAACGGAACGTCTAATTTGAAGTATTCAAAAACACCTTATTTGTATAGACGAAATGAAGAACTGATTAACTTTTTGGAAAGGCAGGTCCAGCGGTTTCAGAAATCCAATATAAAAAAGAAAAAAAAACGCCATTCGGTGGAAAAATGATCATAAGACAAATTCCATCAAATTATCACGTATTTTACAGATTTTAGTAATAGATACAAGTTTTGTTGTCTATGGGTCCGTACAAATGTTTGTTAGACTGCGACGAGAGCTTACGCGCTTCAATATTTTGTTTCTGAAACGAAGCGTCATGCTTTGAGAATAAGTTCAAATTTGTCAAAGAAGGCAATTTTTTCAAACATCTCGATATTTGAAATCTTTGTCAGTTTTAAAAAAATTCAAAACTTTAAAAACAAAATAATTATCGGTACGGGAAGTTCCAATGATTTGCTTGGCACGGTACCATATATCACTAGTTTTAAAATTAATGTTATAAAAAGTAAAATCTAGTAAAAGAAAGAAGTACTATTTTTATGGTGAAAATCAGAATTAAGTAAACATTGACAAATCAGATAATCGCGCGCTGATATATTGATTGGTATATTTAATGACACGCTTTTAAAACCAATCCATCAAAGCTTTTTCTTGCTAATCGATTTCTTATCAAAAAATGATATCTATCCACTTATTCATTTTTATATGAAGAATAGCAATAAATTTATGCGCATATTAGTGAATCATTTACGAACTTTGTACGCGCGATAGAAAGGTGTTCGAATGCAATCGAATAGACAATAGACAATTGTTAATAATGAAAATAATAAACAATCGACAGTTCTTAAACGATTTATCGTTTATAATAACAAGCTTGATTAAACGTTATAAAGTTGGATTCTGAAATATTCTGCGTTCGGAAAACAGAGAGAAATCATGAGTCTTAGCTTCAGAAATCAAGAGTTGCTCTTATTGTCCTCTAAAATATAAGACTAGAATGTATATAACCTGTTTATATAAATGCCTCATTTATACTGATAATTTAAAAAAAAGTATATTTATTAATAGAAATAAAGTTATATGAATATAACTATAATCTGGTTATGTATGGAGCAAAGCTCTCATGGATCAGAGACATGGACTGTAAAAGAGACCGACAAAAGCTTTTTGTGAATTTAAAAATGTGGTGCTGGAGGCGAATGGAGAAGATAGGCAACAAATGAAGAGGTCCTGAAAAAAATGGGCGAAGAAAGAACTCTATTGAGTACGATCATTTAAAGGAAAAGAAACTGCACTCATTCTGCCACTTGAAACTAAAAAATATTGCCACTTAAAACAGTAATCTAAGATCGTCTATAGTCAGACGGTTGATGACTAAGACAATAAAAAAAAAAACAGGAACTGAAAGCCGAAGACAAGACCATACAGTATGGAAGTAGAAATATGTCAAGAAAAAGCATAAATGAATAATAAAAAGTGATCAATGGCACTGGGAATAGTAAATCAAGGGAATGAAAAAGAATCATTGATTTGTGGTGCTCTGACACCATGGATCTGCCTTCGGGCAACTTCTATTTATTATTATTATTATGTAATTTCAATGAAAAAAATGATTTAAGAGTTACTAAGAAGGTATAGCTTAAAGTTCATTCATTATCCTTCCTGGTGGCAATTTAAATGAGAAGCTATTAAACTGACCTGGGTATCCAGAAGTAGTACAGCTAGTTTTTGTCCATTGGCCGATTCATGCAAAAATGGTTCAGGACCACATCAAGATCCCTGTAGTGTCTCTTTCGGAGCCCCCGCGCCATGAGAAACCGCTGAGGGGCGCATCTTCAGCTCCTAACCAATCTCCTGATGATTCTCGGTTCACATACTATAGGAAATAAAAAATATTTATATTTGAAAAATATAATATTAAACTACAACTAAAGGTTCGAATGCGGCTATTATTTTCAGATACATCTTATTTATATTCTCAAATGTTAAAAAAAATTGACTTACTTTATTTAAACTATTAAAAGAATCTTATTAATGGATTAACTTTTATATGCATGGCATTGTACAATATTTTCCATAAAAATCCAATATATCATCATATTTATCATAAAGCAGTAACATTGTTAGTGTCAAATATTTAATTTATAAAGTATTTTCTAATTCAATTTCTT